AAGTCTGATTCCCTGTAAAGACGTCTGTGTTGACATCCACCCCTTCGCGCTCATATGACCTTATGCAGTTGTGAGCGCCGTAAAACCTCTACAAAAACTAATACTAAAAGCAATTGATGGTGCGGTTGCTGTAAATTTGTAACCTAAAAATTATGCCATCTCGGGGATGTTTTGAGAAACATACCTATAATAGGTCGGTCTGGAATTGGATAGTCTCTTGAAATATGAATGGAGCATTGTATCAAATGTCATGGGGCATTAGTTCCAATTAGTACCATCATCATCATCATCATCATCATCATCATCATCATCATCATCATCATCATCATCATCATCATCATCATCATCATTGTAGGTAGTCAAAATAACTTGAGCCATTTCGTGCATGTTGTCTCTGATTTATGCCATTTTGCAAAATGAATTGAGCCATAATTTTTTTTTTCAATTCTGAATAACTTAAATTAGGCCATTTTGAAAAACATTTGACAAAATAGACAGATAGATCCAAGACTGAGGGTAAGAAAGTTGCCCAGGTTTTAGCCTAAGTCTGACTTAGCCTAAAATGAATGAGAGACGAATTGGTCTAAGTCAGACTTAGGCCAAATTACTAGGGAAAATCAATGTACTTTTGACTTAAGCCAAATTCATTTTTAATTATTTTTTTTTTAATGGCTTGAGTATATCTTTAATTTTATGTCACTAAATTAAGCAGATGTCTAGGAGTCCGGTGGTTCATCTGTTACATTTTGGCCTAAGCCTGACTAAGGCTAAAAAGGTAGCAGCTTGACGATAATACAGACTTCAACAAAAGTTAAGGACCACCTTGACAGACAGTCCTAATTTTTATGAATATCCGAAAAAAAGACAGCAAGGAATGTTACAAAATTGTTGCTCTGAATGTTACCAACGCGTACTACAAAGCCATATATAGGACCAAAACAACCACGTGCACCACGGAAGTCCTCCGTGAATTTTAGCCAAATTTGGGGGTTTTTTTATCGACTTGTGGGACACCAAGGACTTTCCTCAGTTAAAATTTCTGGTGCACGTCATAGACGGACGTACGGTCTCGAATTGTGCTCACTTTGGTGACAATATAAGCCACCGTTTGCGCAAAATCCGGTATCGCATCAACATACCACCAAATCGAAAACTGAGAGACTTTGATCATGCCAGTGCTATGGTATGGCTGCAGGATGGAGTTGGAACCCGAGAAGTTGCCAGAAGGCTCGCAGTGTCACACTCTGTCATTGTCCGCCTGAAGCAGTGCTATCACGCCACTGGGTCAGTCCAAAAAACGCCCACGTTCAGGTCGACCCAAGAAGACCTCTCAGAGTGTTTGCAAGTGGTCCCTAACTTTTGTTGAAGTCTGTAAAATGTTGGGGGGTTTTCTTTTACGTAACCTGTTCGCCCCTGTTCACGTGTGGGGGCTACATTATTTCTGTCTCCCGTGGCTCCAGACTCACAGCCTACTTCGGCCTACTGGACATCTGCCAGGCCATGAACGGTGACGTAGTACTGGTCAACGCGGCTGCAGGCTGTGTGGGCAGCCTGGTGGGTCAGTTGGCCAAGCTACAGGTAGGTGGATGGGTGAATGGATGGGTGGATGGGGGATGGGTGTATGGATGGATGGATGAATGGGTGGGGGGTAGGTGGGTGGGTTGA